GCAAACCCACTACATGCCCTCATCTTCCTCATTACCTTTATAAGTGTACTGAAAGGATTATGGAGTGTTTTCGTCAAAATTTGGTTTAGCTGTCTTTGGCTGAGGGCTAACCTCCTGGCCACACAGTAGGACAAAGAGTCTCGGATCCCCACACCAAGCGATTGAGGAGAGAGCAAGGGGTAGCTGCAATTGTGAAGATGGGGTGGAGATGGGAGGCAAAAAGACATACATGAGAGAGAAGGGGGTCACGTATAGTATTTATAATGTTTTAAGTGTGGAAATAACGTCAGCAGTGATTGCTGAGGCCGATCGAAGCTGGCTGTTGTTTTACCTCTTCGAACCTTTGTATTAAACTCATATCTTACTTCAGTTTGGTAGGGGGCAGAAGGCGGGCGTGGATATGGATATGTTCTTAGCTTTCTGAGCTTCCTGTTAAGACATTCCTATGCAGTTTCACATACAGGTTCTGATTTGCTCTCAGAAGAAGCTGACCTCCTTTTCAGTACTCTCCGGCAGATGCTGTCTGACTTTGTGACAGGTGGAAGCATCAAGTTGCAGTTTCGATTTCAAACGGAATATTACCTTTCGTGAAACAATGGTAATATATTGTTCTGCAGAAAGGTTTTCTTGGGAATTTCAGTATCCCTTTATAGATATCAGCTCTGCCATGGCAAAGTACCAAAGACAGCAACTGCATGGAAACAACTGGATTCTCAAGTTCTTCTCGACTGGTGATAATGCGAATTCAGTCTTACAGTATGCGCAAATCTGAATTGCACTACTGTACACTTAGAGTTTAAATGTGTATATACATGTACAGTTTGCAAAATGAATCCATCTTTAAATTAACTTGTTAATTCACAGTTTTACCAGCTCATTCGTGAATCCATAAAAAGCTGACCATCTAACAATTTCACCAGATCTTTGATCATTTTGGAACATAACCAAGGGAATGTGTTAACATTAATTAACATTAACAGTAATTCTAAACAGTGAACAGTGAACCTTAGCCTTATGTCCAGGATAGTTTAATGGGAAAAGTCTCACTATGCATGTCACTTTCTGTGCTTGATGTATTAGCATCTGTGTAAAATGTCAAACTTACTATTTTATAAATAATTCTGGGTAGGATTCTGGCCTAGCGCACCTTCTGTGTGGCATTCAAAAACATTCCATG